CAACAACACACCACCAGGATGTGAAGCCAGTGTAGACCTATGTCTGTGTGACTGGAAAGCTCATGCATGCGCTTTCTGTAATACAACAGTGCACAGCATGTAGTAGAGGAGGTGAGACAATAAAAATATGTGCAGTACGATATAGCTGAGTGTGATGTGAGGACTTCAGAAGAGGCACATTCCCTTCTGGTTGTTAAGATCAGAGAAAGCGTCATGGAATAATGACATTAGAGCTGGGCCTCAGAGAGAAGGCAAGAGGGCAATAGCTTAGGAGACTGGGCATTTTAAATGGAACACCTTAACTGAGAACACCTGGAGAGTCTGGGCAAGTTAAAGGTGAGAAATACAGTTGGACTGAAGTTTGACCTATAAATGGGAGAAGAATCGGTGAAACGGTAGACAAAAAAGAAAAGGGGCCAGAATGTGGGATACCTTATATACCAGCAAAATTAGAGTTTCAGAGTTATAAAATGTACAATGCTATTGATTTTTTTTGAGTAGGGAAATTATGAAAATCAAAATGGAAAAATTAGTCTGGCAACACTGAGCAAGCCACTTGGCAGTGTGACAAGTCACGGTGTGGCAGCAGGAATATGTGGAAGGATGTGAGACTGTGAAAGCAAATTTATTAACACATGGTAACAAGCGAACCTGGAAGAGAAAAAAGGAGCTGCTAAAAGTGTGAGGTTCCCAGCCTAGATTACTCAAAGCACAATGAGATATCATTAACTGCAATATGGAAGTCAGGATAAGGAGCTGGGTTAGAGGAAAGAGATAGAAAGGGATGGTGCATTGGTTTTTAGACATGGTGCGTTTGTCTGCCAATAAGACATATATGCCTAGATGTGCAGCAAACAATTGAAAACAGAGGACAAAAGCCTAGGGAGGAATCAGAACTAGGAGTACATGCTTGGTAATAATCTGCATAAAAGTCATATTCAAAAAGGAGTACAGAGAGAAGAGACAAGGGGTCAAGGATAAAATCAGTGGTTGGGAGAAGGAATAAGACCCTGTGGTGGGACCAGAAAATGAGCAATCAGAGGTGGAAGAAAAGATCAGAAGGTAATTGATGGTGAGATTTGAGAGAAACATTTTAATTGGTGATGAGGGTTACTGTGATGTTTTAAGGAGTTTATAGGCTATAGACCTTTTAATAACTGTAAAAAGCCAATGAGAATTTTGACAGTGAAGGAAAAGCTTAGTGGAGCAGAAACTGTGGTTTAGTAATGGATTAATTTTCTTTTTTTCATTTTTTTTGTCATTAGGATATAGAAGACAGGAGCATGTCTTAGAATGGGGCACCCATCCTTCTGGTACATTCTTCCAGAGAGATCCCTTTTTCAAGATACTGTGCTGACATGATAGTTATGATCATAAAGAAAAGAGCTTAGAGAAAGCAGTGTGAAAGCAGGACCATGAGACACTCAGGAAGGTTGTCAAGGGCAGCACCATTTTCCCCCCGGGGTCTCGCCCTTCCACACAATGGCTCTGCCCACAGCACTACACCCCTCAACTCAGATCTGTCCCAGGCTTGATGTCCTTGAGTAAGAACCTAATTATCACTGCCATTTAAGGAGAGTTGTATAGTTTAAAAGACTTTAGTATTAGGTAGTTCTGGGTTCAAATCTTGACTCCACTGTTGATGGGATCTGAGTCTCTGTTTCCATATTTATTAAGAGTTGGTAACATACATAATATATAGTATTATTTTTCAGAATAAAATTAAGGGAAATAAACCTAAATAAAGAGCCAGATGGATAGTAAGCATTCAGTAAATAATAAAATAATCATTTTTGCTTTTGAAAAAGACGATGATGATGGTAGACAGGACAGGCCCAGAAAAGGTGACATTTAAGAGAACCACAGACACAAGTGAAGAGAAGCATCATCCTTTAAAAGGCTGAGGGATCTGTTTTACTCTGAGAAGACATGGAAAGGAAGAAAATACACATGCAGAAATTTAGACTACAGGAGAAGAAAAAGAAGTGGTAATTAAATGTGAAGAAATAAAAGTAGAAATAGGTTTCATTTAGAGAAGAGAAAAAACAGAAAAAAGAAAGTATTTAGGGTGTGGTTCATTTTTTTTTCAAAAAGGTAGGAGCCATATTTTCTTTCTAAGATTGAAGGAGTATCCTCAGTCTCTAGGTATATTTTTCTCTTCCCGAAGTCCCCAAAACCTTGTGTTGACATATACCTTGGCAACACATCAATCGTGCTCTGCCCCCTTCTAATCTAGACATACAAAGAGAAAACTCTTCTTTCTTTCTCAATTCCTTCCAGCAAGTCCCTCCCCAGCATATTGCAATATGCAATCTTTCCTTACCTCGCTGAGAAAACTACCTAAAATCCTCAAAGCTTCCTAAATAAGGAATCCAAAGGCTCTGTTTCAGTTCATATGTCATCAGCCCTCTCTGCTTTGACATAGCCAATAATTCCTTTCTTCCCAAGGCTATTTTTTTCCCCTCACTTCCTCATGGCCATAGGTTCCTGGTTCCCCTCATGCCATTCTGACTTGAAGCTCTCAGTGTCTTGTATGTGCTCCTCTACTTCTAACTCTTCAATGCTAGTGTTTTCCAGCTCTACTCTTCTCATTCTACATACTCCCCCTGGAAATCTCCTTCACAGTCAAGATTTTACTATCACAAACAGACTGAGGATTCTCCAGCTATTGTCTTCAATGTAGACTCATTCTCTGAGACTCAGACCCATATATTCTCATTCATGTGCTGGATGAATCTCACTGGGATGTCCACTATACATCTCACTTTCAAAATTTCCAAAGCTGAACTCAATATATTCCTACCTTAAATTGTATTTCTTCTATTCTGAAACTCAATTGTTTGTATTCCCATCCACCTAGTCACCCAACCTACAACTCCTAACCCACTCCTAGCCACCAAGATCTAAAAATTCTATTTCCTAAAGATTGCTTAACTTTGACCTCTACCCTTAATATTGCCACCACTAACTTTCCTGGACCAAGCTTTCATTACCTTTCACTTGGACTATGCAATACTCTCCTACCAGTTAGTTTGCCTCCAGTATTGTCTCCTGATGAATGACCTTCCCATAGCTGCCACCATGCTGTAAAACAAAAATTGGACCCTGCACTCTTAAGCTTAAAGTTCCTTCATGGTTCACTACCCTCTATAAATCCACAGAATTAAGTTCAAGCTGCTTAACATACAGACCTTGCATCATCTGACCCACCTCATCTCTTGGTATGCCCTGCTCTGAATTTCATTCTTCAGAAACAATGAACTGCTTAGAGTAAGTGGGGACATTCATTGTGCTGTTTTCCTTTCTATGCCTTTGTTTATGCTGGCCCCTATGCTTCTACCCACTTTGATCTGGCTCTTTTTCATCCTTTACCTTGACCTCAGTCACCATTTCTTCTTAGAAGCTTTTCCCAACTCTTTCCTTCCTGCCCCTTACCCAACCTGAACCTGTCTGTCGCTTTGTTGTTCTGTGGTGGCTTGTGTGTTGCTCCAATGCTGGAAGCTATGCCACAAGGATTTTAAGTACCAGCAGAGCCACCCATGATGGACAGGTTTTAGCAGAGCTTCCAGACTAAGACAGACTAGAAAGAAAGGCCTGGCGGTCTAGTTCCAAAAATTAGCCAGTGAAAATCCTATAGATGTCAAGAGAATATTGTCCGATATAGTGCTGGAAGATGAGTCCCCTGGGTGGGAGGGCACTCAAAATACACAGGGGCCACATCAGTGGACTTGAGCATACCGATGATTGTGAAGATGGCACAGGACTGGGCAACATTCTGTTCTGTTGTAAACGGGGTCAGCATGAGTCGGACAGAGCCAACTCGATGGCAACTGACAACAGGAACAACAACCACCACAACTGCAGAGGTGCCTCTCTTTTAGGGACTTGCGGGTCCCCGTGAACGCCTTCAACATTTCCCTTAACACATTAAGCAGGGATGCTCTTCATTATGCTTGTACCCCACATTTGATTGTGAACACCCTGGAAGCAGGGTAAGTCTTATTTACATTTATTTCTCAGAATTAGCATATTATTACATGTTATTACCTGGTACCCTTCCATCTGTTGGAGGAATGTCGGAAAGGTTTGAGAGAGCCGTGGAGGGGAATGAGACAGTTAACCAAAGATGAACTAAGGAGGGAATGGGATTTATTCAGGGCCAAATTTAAGTTATATAGACCAACATTATAGTGATGCTCTTAGGCTTGTTTTATAACTTTTTCCAAAAGATTCTTCAACCTGACACACAAAAATGAATGGTAACTGTAACCTGGAGTTGGTGATAATTCAAGGAAGGGAAAGGATTCTAGGGTGATCAGAGACCAACTACAGAAACAACTGAGGGCAGAAAGGGCTGATGTGCATGGCAGAGGGGGTGGAATCAAAGAGAACGATGAGGGCAAAGAGACAGTTGGGTGGGCCAGAGAGAGCTGGTGAGGAGGAAAGAGGAGGACAGTGTATTCAGACAAAGGGAGAGAGGGACACAGAGAAGGGGAGGGAGGAAGTGACAAAGGGAGGCAGAGAGAGAGAGAAAGAGAGAGAGAGAGTTTGCTTAAAAACTGAAAGACGGTATAGTTCAGAATCCAAAATACAGTAATATCAGTTAGTAGAAATTCCAGCTGCTGGAAAAATCACCTTTGGATTCATAATCTAACAAAATAAAATAAAAATCATTCTAGTGTTTAATTTATATGTTACTACAGTAAATTAAAAACCTATTTGCCAGTTTGTGGACACTTTGGGCATTTTGTATCACATTCTATAGTCAAAGAATCATACAAATTGCAGAAATAATGACAGGAAAGCTTTGCCATGTAATTCTTCCATCTATTTATGGAAGCAGAGAACTCTAGTCCAATGCCCAGTTACATAATCTGAATTTTGTCCAGCCTTCGTTTTGAAATAATTTTTCCAAAAGCATGACAAATAAGTCATTTTAGCCCTTCCTTTCTGCTAAGTAGTTTTTTTGTCCATTATTTTAGCATTTTGAGAGCACATACCACAGATAAAGCAGGTTGTCTTTAGAATTTCTTCTTTTTTCTGTTTTTCACTTCTGAGATCAGCAAAGGTATCAATGATAACACCAAAAATCAAGTTAAGAACAATAATGATAACAATGAAAAAAAACAGAAGATCATAAACCACCCGGGCAGCAAACAAAGGCTCCTGAAAAACAAATTATATATACATGTAAATATACATATGCACTTTCAAGACATGTTCATTTAGCACATTGCTTAGCATAGAAGATAATACGCAATAAATATTTGCTAAATGAATATAAAATACTCTTCCAAGTTGGAAACATAAGACATACTTTCTGTCTTAGCTTTTCTTTTCTTTAGGAGTCGTGAGAAAAACTTCCAGGCCAGTTCCCAAGAACGCTTTCTTTTCTCTATGACTAACACATTTCTTTTCTAATGGAGGGACTTACCTTTCATTAGCAACCACTTTACTATGTCATTCTGCCGAACGCGTTTTGTTGCAGTGGCCCCTATCCCAGAAGCCGCACGAAAGGCATTTAAACAGTAATTCCAAAGGTCAGCAATTAGAGACCTAAGGAAGACCTAATGACTTGTCAGTTTCTGAAGTAGGTTTCTTTCTTGGCTTCATAGGGTCAAGTACATACAGTTCAACCTTATTTCCATCAACGAACAATATTAAAATACATATTAGAGATCATTTAATACAGTTGTCTCATAGATGAGGGGCCTGAGGTTATGAAATGCTAGATGGCTGGACAACACTATATAGCTCGCCTATACAGAACTGAGATTTTTAGAGCCCCCAGCCTGATTCTTGACATTTTGCAGATAATGAGATTTTTTTCAGCCTTGCCATTTTACTATATGAAATTCTATTAGAATCTGTTCAAATTTTATATTCATCATGGATAAATAATGGATGCTATTCCTACGCAGAAGGAAAGAGTAAATTTTCATACCTGAGAAACATGACAGACAAGGGGCAGCCTAGTTTCTCTTATTTATGTAACAATAAACTCCTATACAAAGTTCTCCATCATGATTTCCTTACTGTAATACTATACACAGATCAAACCTGGATAAATGTCATAACTCTACTAACATACCTCATGGATTGAATTGTGTCCCCCAAAAGTATCTGTCAACTTGGCTGGGTTGTGATTCCCAGTATTGTATGATGGTGTAATCTGATGGGATTTCCTTTTGTGTTGTAAACTCTATCGCTATCATGAGGTTATACGTGGTCTCCTTATGTGTTGTAAATTCTATCACTGTGATGAGGTTATACTGATGAGGTTTACAAGATTAGATAGTGTCTTAATCCAATCTCTTTTGAGATATAAAAGAGAGAGGCAAGCAGAGACACACAGGTGAACCTCATACCACCAAGAAAGCAGTGCCGGGAGCAGAGCATGTCCTTTGGACCTGAGGTTCCTGCGCTGAGATGCTGCCAGACCAAGGGAAGACTAATGCATCACAAGGAACTTCCAGACCAAGGGAAGCTTGATGACACAGACCTTCCTCCAGAGCTGACAGAGAAAGTGTTCCCCTGGAGCTGACGCCCTAAATTTGGACTTGTCGCCTACTAGACTGTGAGAGAATAAACTTCTCTTTGTTAAAGACATCCACTTGTGGTATTTCTGTTAGAGCAGCACTAGATGACCAAGACACATACATAGATTTTTAGTACATTAGCTGTTTCTAGGTAATCCTAGTATACAATTAATTGGTTTTAATGGCCGTCATTATACTTTGAAGCAAATGACACAACATATTACCCTGAAAACAAAAGCCATAATGTAAACGCTATTTTCAAAAGCTAAAAAAATGAGTACACGGTTCTTGAAAAACTACTTTTCCTTCCACTTACATCTTTTGAGGGCCTTCTCAGCACATCTCCCACACCTCCACCGTTCCTGAGGCCCTGGTTTAATACAGTGACGATGCACATAAGCAGAGTGTCACACATCCTTTCAATTCCATCTTCATACTCTTCATCACCTATAAAACCACACAAATTAAACAATGTAACAAACTTACATTGAATAAGTATATTATTATTCCATTTCCAAGGATTTATTTCTTTATAATTGTGTCATGACACAATATCTTGAAGTCACATAACATCTGTTTCATGCGGCAACACATGACTAACACATACAGACAAATTTGCACGTACAATGTCCTGAAATAATTTTTTTTCCATAGGCAGAAAATAGAATTAAAAGGGTAAAATATAAAAAGGCTAATGTTCATTGTGCATTGTTGTGGTGCTGGTTGATTACAGTACCATCTCCTGAAAACCCAGCCAACTGACCCAGAAGACAAAAATAGTGTAGGGGACAGAGCATGAACACAGGAGCCAGACAGACCTGGCTTCACATTCTACTGTGACAATATTGGGACTTGGACAAGTTCATAATCTCAATGTCTTCATCTGTGAAAGAGGGATGGTTGTTTAAGGATTAAACTCTTTATAGGTTTGTGTAAGGACTATGTTTAATTAAGGTAACACTTTGCACAGAGATTGGCACACACACAAAGTAAGTGCTTACATATTTGGACAGATATTGTTATTTCATTATTCAGGTTAAGGGTCTAAGTTTTCTTAATGACCAACTTGTGGCTGCTGATGAGAAGCACATTGTATTTATGTGTAAAATTCTATTTAGGGAGAAATGGGGAGACAGAAAAATTCCTAGCCATTTTTTCAAAGATAAAGTTACCAAACTTGCAACATAATTTCCAAGCCACTTAAAATAGCAAAAAATTCATACTAAATTGGATATTAGAGTTAGGATTTCCTAATATTGGCAAGTGAGAGAAATGCATTTTTCTCATTACAAGGATAATTAACTATCGTGTTGTGTGCCGTTGAGTCGATTCTGACTCACAGTGACCCTATATGACAGAGTAGAACTGCCCCATAGGGTTTCCTAGGCTATAATCTTTATGGGAGCAGATCTCCAGGTCTTTTCTCTTCCATGGAGCTGCTGATGGGTTCAAACCTCTGACCTTTCAGTTAGCAGCTGAGCACTTAACCGTTGCGCCACCAGAGCTCAGCATTAAATTTTGGAATTATGTAGCCACACTCTGCGTGTTAACATACAAGTAAGTGTAAAACAACAACAACCAAAAAAAAAAAAAAAATTCAGTCTAGTTTTGTCTACATGATCCAAGACTAACAACCTGTTTGGTATTTTGTTATGAAATGACTCATTTTCCTCTTCTGAGCTGACTTTATTTTAGCATCACATGGATGAGGGGCTCCCAATATTTTTACTTTACTTGAAGCTGTTTCTTTTTAACCCTTTCAAGAAGCAATTATTTTCTCTTGAATTTTTTGTTGATATGATGTGTTTCCACTAATGAAGGCATGCTGATTAAAGGACCAACTCAGAATTTTTGTTATAATTTATGGGTTTTGATACCCATTATCTGGAATCACATATGTACCAGTGACCTCTGGATGACATAAATCCTGCCAATATGAGTCAATGATAAAATCGGGGTTTTTTTTTGTTTTGTTTTGTTTTGTTTTTTTAGTTTTCTTTATTTTATTTCTTGAAAATTTGCAAAACATGAGGTAAAACATGAAGGCACCTGGAATGACTGCATGTATATTTTATTCTAGTCTCCTTAGCCTTTTCACTATTTTTCATAAAACTTTTCATAACATGGTACAATGCTATCTTCCTTACTGCAAAAGTACTTACAGACCAAATAAAGCCAAGAAATTTTTTTATCTCAGAAAAATTACCACTACAATGCATTCTTAATTACTGCAAAAGCAATACTTAGAGGCAAAATAAATAAAATTAAAGGAATTTGAATCTCAGGAAAATTACCACTACTCTGTATTCTTCATAGTAAAAGCATTACTAACAGCTAAGAAGCAGAAACAGATCCCCTGGAATACTGCAGAACTGCTCACAGTGGTGCATTCCACTTGCTGCACATGGAAGCAGTGACTGGGCCCTAAGATTGAATGCAGGGTAAGAATAACATATAGGAGCTCCAATCTCTTGAAAAGTACCACTTCAATACATTATTTCTTATTGGAAAGGCATTATTTACTGTTCAGAGGCTAGAAAAGAACGGAGTCAGTAACACCTGGAAACAATGAATGGCATAAAGGATAAAATGGCCACTATGACTGAATGAAGACTGGCAATAGCTTAATCTCGCTATAATACATTCTCACAAGAATATAGTAACTGGGAAACTTAGTGAGGGGGCTTATCTCACAAAGATAAAGGCAAACCTGTCAAAAGTTTAGAAAATTCACATATTCGGGAGGCATGACCTAGGACAATGCTCAATCTAAAAAACAAGGAGTCTCACACTCAGGATTTTTGAGTTTCATGCATGTCAAAAGGTTCCTATCTTGAGGCTAAACACGCATTAAAATCAGGCTACCCCTTTTCCAAAGAATTTCAGAGACATAAAAAGTGGGTGGGATACCTTTTGTCCCTCGGATCTTGAAAGGGTTAAAATATTCTGGGATGCACCTTGAGAAGAGGAGAGGCAGAGTCTGGGCTTGACCACTTACCTTCCAGGTGAGTCCTAAGGCACATTCTGATTTAGAAAGAAGGAGAAATACAACTCCTTTAGGAGGAAGAAGAAATGGGGAATAGGTATGGCTTGTGGTGGTATCAGTCAGAGCAGCAGTAGACAAGGAAGCCAGAGAAAGCAGTGGAGAAAGCTCAGGTTGTACCATGCTGGTTAACTTCCCAAAGCCCGGTGGTGGGTTCTAACATGATGGCTAAGAAGGATGAGAGGAAAAATAGTTAGAAATGTGTAAGAAAGTTAAAAGAAAGTTTTAAGGAGAAATGTGGTTTTTGAATAATGAGGCCATCTGGAATATGCCTACATGCTACTTACAACAGTTAGACTTTCAATCAAAGCAGTTATATATTTAGTGGCATGATCTGCATTCATTTATTTGTTCAGCTACTACCTGCTTTTGTCACAATAAATGCTTATTAGAAACTAAGTGCTAGATTAATCAGTACACAGAAGCTACAAGGTAATGCTCCCACGTCTTCCGAAGAATTTGGAAATGAAGCTGTTTGTTCTCTTAGAGGTGAACTTGTAAACTCTACACACAATTCACAATGTAATTAGCTTGTGAAAAATAAATAGACTGGCTGCAAATATATACTGAGAGAACTGGCTTTCTGTGTAGCATGCAAATAGGGGAGAATGCTCAGGTCAGGTCAATGCCAGCAATAGTCCAGTCATCTTGCTCAAAAATAATCAGTACATGGGCATGTTGGTTTGATATATTAGCCTCAATGAGCTTGGTTCATGCAGTTCTACCTTTGTGAGACGGACCGAATCTCACTATGTTATGCCAAGTTCCCAGGCCTTCAGGTGGAAAGCCAGACTCTGAGTCATGGTAAATTCACCAAAGTAAATGCCACCTTGTGGAGACCTACCTGCATGACCAGCTGTCCTTCCCCACGCCACACCTGCCTCGTTTCACTGCAACAGGGGCCTCTAGGCCAGGAATTAGGAATAGAGGTGGGAACAATGAAAGTGTCCCAGTCCCTAAGAAATTTAGGGTCCACTAAGAAAAATACCCCAGCAAAAGGACAAAGGCAGTGCAATATTACTGGGTGCCATGGAGGCATGATGGAAGTGCTTCTTTCAGACGGGGGCGTCAGGGACGGCATCCTGAGTTGAGTCATGAAAAAGAAGCATGCTTAGCCAGTAGATTAGTGAGGTAAGACGTGCCAGGCAGATAAAATGGGCTGTGCAAAGGCAAACAGGCATACAAGCACCTGGGATGTTTGTGGAACTGCAGGTGGATTGCAATGGCTGGGGTTTCGGTGTATGCAGAAAAGTGGTGAAGACATGAGAGGAAAAGCAAGCGGGGAACAGGTCATGGAGAGCTTCATACACCAAGGTGAAGAGTTTAAACTTTATCCCAAAAGCTATGGGGAGCTACTAGAGAATTGTAAACAAGGACAAGGTGGTTTACCACCTGCTGTTGTTCGCTGCCGTTGAATCATCCCTCAACTCATGGTGATCCCATGCACAATGGGATCAAACTGTTGTGCTCTGTAGAGCTTTTATTGGCTGATTTTTTGGAAGTAGATCACCAGGGCTTTCTTCCTAGGCATTCTTAGCCTGGAAGCTCTGCTGAGACCTGTTCAGCATCATAGCAACACACAAGCCTCCACTGACAGATTGGTAGAGGTTTTGCATGAGGCACATTGGCCGGGAATTAAACCAGGATCTTTTTCAAGGAAGGAGAGAATTCTCCCACTGAACCACCACTGCCCCCAGCTCACCATCTAGTTGGTAAAATAGCAAAAGATAAAACAAATATTCAAATAACAAGACAAATTAACATGTGATGAAAGCCGCAGAAGTGAGGCAAAGTGTTCAGACAGAAGAGGGAAACATTTAATACCAGAGATAATTAGAGGGGAGTCCATTAAAAATATACACAATGAGTTTAGGCTTGAATATTCCATAGCATAAGATAGGAGTAGAAAAACATTTCACAAGGCAGGATAGAAGTAGAAAAAGACATGCTTACATGTTAAACAGCAAATAAACCAGTATGCATGCACTAGAGGAGTGGAAGATAAAGCTGGAGAGTTAACTGGGAGCTCTCTGTGAAGCTCTAAGGAGTTCAGATTTTACTCAGAAGGCAATGCAGCATCATGGAAAGGTTAAGCTGTAGGTAGGGGAGGATATATTCAAAGCAGTGATTTCTGACAAGTAGTCTAGTAGTGATATACTGGGCGAATTGAAGAGAAGAGAATGACTGGAGGCAGAAAGACCACTTAGGAGGCAGTTGCAATAATTCAGACATGATGGACTATAAACCTTAACCAGGGTAATGGCAGTGAGAATGGAAAGGATGTGAGAGACAATGCAAGGAATGAAAGACCAGGAGCTGATGGGGCTTTAGGAAGGAGGGAGAAGGCAGCATTAAATATTATGCTGAGGCTTCCAGCCAGGCGTGACTTGGGAAAAGGATGGTT